CGGTCCGATTCAGTTTTCAAAACCATGGTAATGATATATCCAAAGTTTGTGGGCAGCTTTGGTGGAATAAGGGTTCAAATTTCTAAAAAATAATGCATTGGGTGGATTGGAACAAGTTGACATTGGCCAAGAAGCATGGGGGTTTAGGGTTCCAAATATCCAACAGTTTAACATTGCTCTTATTGCAAAGCAGCTATGTAAAGTGGTTAGTGAACCTGAGAGGTTGGTAAGTAAAGTGCTTAAAATCAAATATTTTCCTAATTCGAATAAAAGATTAGGTGGGTCGGTTCTTTAGAAAGTGGTGGCAATTTGAAGCTCAGAAAAAAAACATAACTCTCGTTGGGTTTGGGGTAGCTGACTCTCTGTGTTGAAAACTTGTGGCAATTATATGAGAATTGAATTGAAGAATGGCAAAAACAGTATGGTGTGGGATCAGTACTGATTACAACTTTGATAGGTAGAGAAGTGGAACGGTTGTCGGGGATGGCAGCAGGTGGGATGAGACCAAAGTTAGATCAACCTTTGCTCCTGAATTCTGCAGTTTCATCTTAAGAATTGACTCCATTGATCCAAACAAAGATGACAAATGGGCCTAGTCAATGCATAAGAAGGGTATGTTCACTGTACTGTCTACATACTCTCAGCTTATCACGGAAAATTTCTTAAGCTGGATAAAGCTCAAGGCAGTATGGATTTAACCACATATATCAAGGTCAGATCAAGAAGCTGAAAACTTAAGGTAATGGGGAAAGTTAAACATTTTACCTGAAAGTGTTGCAATGGCTCTATTCTTGTGAGTCTGAGCTTGAGGGCCAAAGGTATTTTGATGGATCCTATTTGCAGACTCTTTGGTGAGGAGAAAGAGTCCATAGAACATGCACTCTTAGTTGGATTGGGCCTCAGGGAATGGTCTTATATCGTTGTGGTGGCAAATTTGCCAATTGAACAGGAGTGAGACTTTAGAAGCTAGGATACAACTTTCGACGACTATACTTTGGTAGCTTTGGAAGTCTCGCACTCTCTAGGTGTTTCAGCAGATTAGGAGACTTGCACAGATTGTCATCAGAGTAGCAATCCAGGAGCGAGAGGCTTATCTGCAGTGTGATAGGTGCTAGGTCTCTTGTTGTATTTATCTCGAGTAATGTTTATTTTGGTTGTTTTGTTTTCTAGTTGATTAGTTTGGGGTAAAGGTTCAGTCGAGTATAACTGTTTTATCCCTCTGTCTTGGTTGTTCTTAGCTGTTTTTTCTGTTCTTGGTTGGGTTTTTTATTCTTGGTTGGTTCTAGCCCAGTGTGTGTTGTGCTCTCATTTATCTGCTATGTGGTTTGTACTTAAGTTTGGTTTATTGATATGGTTATGAGCATACTCTATCTTTATATATATATATATAGAGAGAGAGAGAGAGAAGGGATCATATGAGAAAGAAAGATAGTGAAAGAAATGAGAATAAACCTGGATCATTGGATACACCATATCAATGGTTATGATTAAGTCAAAAATTGGTCAATCATTAATGGCAATATAGTAATTTAACATAAATATTGTGTCAATTTATATATTTGACCA